TTGAAGAAAGAGCTGAAGCTTGAGGAGAACAAGTTGATACTTGTGTTTGATGCATTGAGAGCCTGAAGGGGCCAAGTTGATACCTGCTATTGGGATTGAAGCCTGAAGGTAAAGTCTACTTTGGAGCTGAAGCTTGAAGAAGGTGAAGAACAAGCTGATACTTGTGTTTGATGTGTTAGAAGCTTGAAGAAGCAAGTTGATATTTGCTGTTGAAGATGATAGCCTTGAAGAGCAGTTGAAGGCTGAGGACTAAGCTGCTGTCAGAAGAGCTTTGCTGTGAAGCTGGGGAAGCTGTTGATTTGCTTTCTTTCATGTCTGTTTGCTTGTTGTGCAACTGTATTGATGTGACTTGTTTGATTTGCTTGATGCATTAGAATAAGTTCGTATTTAGATTTATTTAAGCTAGGAGCATGATTGCACTAGAGGTTAAGTTGCTCCCTCTGCTTGTATTTTTACTGTGTGGCTTTGCTTGCGGGTATTCGGTAGAGCCCTGCTCCCTTGCCTATGTGGGTTGTGATTTGCTTGATGGAATTTTATTTCATTTCTTCTGTATGATTGCAGTTATTATATTTTGCTTGATAGCATGTTATTTCTTTTGTATGATTGCAGTTATTCATATCTGGCTTGAGGTTGGATGAGCTTGTGGAGGCTGATGCCCCACACAAATTTCCTCCCTCACTTGCATTGCATGCATTTTGCTGTATATCTGTTTACTGTTTAAGCTGATGCTTTACCTATTTCTGTTTACCATTGACATGATCCCCTAGGAATCTCACTTCCTTTGATAAGGAAGTGATGATTAGAACTTTAGGTTGAAACCTATGCATGATAACTTCTAGGAGTTACCTGTTTCAAACCCCAACCATAGGATGAATCCATGGCATGACAATAGTAGGACTTGATAGTCTCCCCTTAGTTGAACCTGCCCGTTCTCTCTTCTCATCTCGAAACAAATTAAAATACAGTAATAAAGGTTAACTGACGTCGTACGTTACGAGCCTTAAGCTATCTGAGAAAGGATTGTTGGAGAGTTTCTTTTCAACAGTCTGAATGTTTAGTATGGTACCCTTTGGGTGACATGCGACGCATTCACTCTCAGATCATAGTCTCTAGTGCGATATTGGTTGCAAACAACCATAAAAAACAGTTCTTCCGTAGAAGACAGAAAACAAACTTCAAACCTTTTTGCCCCGTGGGCCCGTAATTCAAAGGAAGCTTTTCTGAAGAAAATAGTGTTGTTAACTCTCAGTTCTACCGCAAACAGTAACGCCTAAGTCTCCAAGGGTCGAGCTGCGTACGCCAAACTGCTGGAACTATTTGTTAACCCTACTCGGAAAAATAGATGAATCTGAATTCCCGTAATCCGTATTATCCCGAACTACGTAAGCTCTGATCTCTCATATCTGTTGAGAGTACGTAGGCACAATACTGATGTATTGGCGAGCCACCTTCCCCGTAACCCGTAGTCAGCCGAACTACGTTGACTCTGATTTCTTATTCTCTGATGAGAATACGTAGGCATAAAGCGCGACGCTTTGCCGAGTCATTTTCTTTTCTTTTTTAGACCGGCCTTGATAGGTAGATAGTTAAAACAACCCGTCAGATAAACACAACAAGCGTGGATCCCATCGAGTACGATGGACGTGAGGGGTGCTAATACCTTCCCCTTGCGTAACCGTCTCCCGAACCCAGACAATGGTTGCGTTGACCTTGTCTTATACCTTTTCGTCAGGTTTTTCCGATCGTTTCCTTTCCCGTTCCGAGGGATAAATAACAAAAGGTGGCGACTTTTCTGTTTTGCCGGCACCTTATTTTCGCGGGTAGCGACAGGTGTTAACCAAAAAATACTCAGTATGTTAACAGACGAACTATGGTTAACTGAAGAAAAAGAAGAGGTTGGTCTTTTAACTGATAGGCAGTGGTTAACCAACGAAAGGGAGGTAGAATCAAGAGAAGGTTGCTTACTCCACTGAGGATTCAATATCTTAACTAACAAGCAGTGATTAAGCAAAGGAAAAAACCGTAAACCAAGAGAAGATTATGACTTCGTCGAGGAAGAAGAGGATTGGTCTTTTAATCGAAGAACGGTGATTAATCAAAGGAACGAGTATTGAACCAAGAGAAGGTTGCTAACCCAACAGGAATAAGTATTTTAACTGATAAATAGGGGTTAACTGAAGGAAAGGGTGTTGAACCAAGTGAATGTGTTAACCCAAAGAAATGAGTGTTGAACCAAGCAAAGGTGTTAACCAAAAAGAAGAGAAAAGACTTGGGACAGGAATGAGTGACTACCAAGGATCGACTCAAGAGACACCATAGTATGGAGATAGAGGTTACTATTCTAAGTTCAGGGCCAAATGCCCCCTACCTGAAATAGTCAAAATGAGGGTAGGAACATGATCAAGAAACAAAAGCTCTAAGGAGATCCTAAAGAGAAGAGCGGGGGAAATTAATCAATCAATCAAAGGGAAGAAAAATGCCAATAATCTTTCAAGCGAGTTGAAAGATTATCAAAGCAAGTGTGGGAGATAATGTTGAACAAGATTAAATTTACTCAAGGGAGAACAAATCTAATGCATCAAGTTGAATAGAAAAGCATTAACAAAGACAAGCTAGCATGCATTATTAAGCATTTTCATGTTAACACACAAGCAAAAATGTGCAAAAAGTGCTTCAAACATGTGATAAAATTGTAAAATAATCAAGAAAAATCATGCAATTAATCAAGAAAAAATTATTGCAAGTAGGTACTGACCTAAAACAGTGGGATCGTATTAATATAGGTAAGCATGTGAGTATACAAGAAAAACATGCAAAATAGTCCCAAAACAGCAAGAAATTGGTAAAATATGTCAGGTGTAACTGATTACCTGAAATGGTGTAATCAGATACACCATGCAAAAAGTGAATCCTGAGGCGTAGGTAAGGTTGTAACCGATAATGCCAAAAGCGTTAACCGATTACACCTGCAAAAACAACATAAATAGATTTTTAAAAAACACTTTTCGGAATCACTTATCGCATGTAATCACAGTGTAATACATCATGGAATTAGATGCAAAATTCAAGTTAATTCAGAGCAATCAAGAACTGATAGAATCAAGCATGCAAAGCAATTACTCATGTAGAAAAACAACAATTGTGCACTACATTGTGAAAACGAGAAATCGACGAAAGCGATTAAATTAAGCAAGATTCACCAACCTACAAGGCTGAGATTTGCCTTGGTAATTGTTGTAATAAAAATGTGATGAAGAGATGCTTAGAAAACCATAGAATCCAGAGATCTTTAGCAATTCGTAGCGAAAAACGAAAATGCGATAATTGCTTCGGATCCAAGCTAGCACCAAAACTCCTTGAAAAATCAACTTCCAAAGCTTGAAATTAAGTAAATGTTGTTGTTACTGTAGAATTCATTACTGAAATGGAGATGAATGGAGGTCTAGCTCAAAGAATAGCAAGCTTCGATGCAAAACTTGCTAAGCTTTAATGGTGAAAGAGCTTTTGTGAGGTTTATGGAAGAAGAAGGTGATGATTGAGAGAAAATGCTGCAGAAAATGTAGAGAATGGAGAGTGAAAATTCAGAGCAAAATGAGAATGAAGAGTGAAAAATTCAGAATGAAAGTGAAGGTCATTTGCATCAATGTAAGGGTTTGCTTATATAAAGCATATGCTTGTAGTGAGTGAAGGTTTGAAACTTGGTATGGAGGTAGTTAAATGAGGTTTGCCATTTGGTTTGGAGTTAGTTAGATCCAACTTACTGAGTTGGGATCTAACTCAGTTAGTTATTAGTTGACTCGATTGGAGAATCCAATGCAACTCAATGATCAAGTGGTCCAAAATGATTGGAAATGAGGGTGTGTGATGATCATTATTGATAGTGAGGTAGTGTAGCAAATATAGTTGATATTTTCTAGTGTAATCACATGTATATAACATCTTAATGAATATATATATATATATATATATATATATATATATATATATATATATATATATATATATATATATATATATATATATATATATATATATATATATATATATATATATATATATATATATATATATATATATATATATATATATATATATATATATATATGTGTGTGTGGCAATGCAATTTAAATCCATCTATAATAACATCTTAATGGTATGAATATATATACATGAATGAGTACTAATACATTATTAAGCTGATATCACCTATCTTCATATTCCATCATTTCAACATTAAAACCATTTACTTTATCATCCATTCATCATAGTTGCACCTGGATATATACTTGTGGCTCCAAGCTGGAGCTTTTCTTATTGTCCTCTTTCTTTTTAGCTCACCGAGTCAATTGGAATATCATACAACCCCCGAGTCAATCAGTCAGAACTGTTGAATAAAGATCACCCCGTGTCACAATAATACACATTCCAAAAAAATAAGGATGTATATGTGATATTCATATTCTCAGGGGATTCGAAACAGTTAGAACTTCATCGTCTGTTCTCAAAAGAAATGCAAGTTTTATTACTGAAAATACCATCCTTGATTAAACTATGTGAATATCGAGAATCCCTGGCTGGCAGAGAGCCGGATCCAAACATTTGATTAGATTGACATTCTAATTGAGGGAATAATTTCCTTTCCAATAACACCATATCAGTATACTTTACTAGTAACAAGGTGAACAAGAGAAGCAACTGCAGCACCGCCAACTTCTACCCCTTTGCTTTGGTTTTGTTTCAGATTTAGGACTATGGAGTTTTTCTATCGGTTGTTGTTGTTTTTCATTTTTTTCTTTCTTTTCTGATTCTACCGTTTCTGAACTAGTTCTTACTCCTTCAGCTGTCAATCTAAAAGATAGAGAAAAAACAGAAGAAAAAAAATTATAGTTAATAACATGATCTATCATACCATTTTTTTAGTTTTTGATTTACGATATTTCGGTTTTATAGAGCATAATATATCATATAACACATAAAAGCAAGAAGATAGGGCAAGAGACTCACATAGGAAATTGAAATGAACGGTTGCTCATATCACTTTCGGTTGAACGGTACAAGACATTGGTCGCATAATTTTTAGGTTCTTCATTAGGGACTATCTCTATTTCAATAGGATTTTCATGAGTTTTATCCAACGTAGTTTCCTCAACATTTGATGTTCTTATATTGTCCATCTCCGAACTTATATTTGTTGATTTATCTAACGTATCTGTCGAATCGCGAGACGAGTCGGACGATAAAGATGGTCTCTCGTTATCTATTTCATTGTCATCATTTTTATGATTTACCTCTTGAGATATTGTCAATGTCGTCGACGACGTACCAGTTAATTCATTAGTCCTTGAGAGTTCACCGGATTTACGGGAAGCTAAAAATTGTTCCCTTGAGAAACTATTGTTTCCAAAATGTAAACTAAATAATGATTCATTTGATGCAACACTCCATTCCATAGGACTTACTGGTTTAGGGCCAAAAGCGGAAGAAGGTATCCTATTTGGATCATATCCAGAATTAGGGTTAGGGTTAGGGTTCATCAGCTGAAGTGGAGGAGAATGTGTCACTGGTCCACCTTGAAAACTCCAAACCGGTGAACCGTAACCACCATTATTAGATTCTTCAAAATTTTCTCTATCTTTATCACTATCATCTGAATCTAGTGAAGATTCTGATGAAATTGAAGAACTTGAATGTTTCATTTTGATATGATCAGTTGGATAATCTTCGTCTTCAGGAAGATCAAAATGTACTTTTAATTTCTTAACACTTCCTTTTCTATTCTCATAACTAAATGTTGCCATTAATTTTGCAAATCTAAAAAACAAGATAAAAAATACAATTATATCTCACTATTACAATAAAAATTTCAATAAATTATACATAATGTAATAATTGATTTATATAATATAATTAACAGAGAAGTTAACAAAACAATGAATTAACAAAATTAAACTTTTTTAATATTTCAATATATGATAATGTCATAACATGTTATTCACATAAAAGCTACAAATATTTTATCAATATTATATACAAAAAGAGATTGTTTGAATCATTAGCATACAATATTTGATCTTCATGATAAATAAAAAAACCTAAATGATTAAAACAATATAACATTATATTATTTTTCAATCAACAACTAATGAAGGAAAACATATCAAACTTACTCAAATTTTTATGATTGATTTGAAAACTCTGCAGCTTCAATTTACAACAATCCTTCAATAGAAAAATTGGTGCAAGATAAAGGTTAATATAAAACAAAGGAGATGAATATAAGAAAGAAAACTAAGATGAAGAATTTGAGAAAAAATGAAATTGTTAACATTGAGAATGATGAAGGAAGGCAAAGAGAAGATCTCGGAAATTAATTTGTTTGATTAACAAAGTCATTAGTTATAACATATTAGAACTAATCCAACTCTTTATGACCAACCTTGGATGGTTATAGACAAATAACAATGGGTTTTTGGTTATATTTTCATAATATAATTTTTATTAGCTGTTTTTTTAACAACTTTCTAAATTTCAATAATTTATATTTTTTTCTTTTGTGTAAAAATTAGTTTATATATATATATATATATATATATATATATATATATATATATATATATATATATATATATATATATATATATATATATATATATATATATATATATATATATATATATATATATATATATATATATATATATATATATATATATATATATATATATATATATATATATATATATATATATATATATATATATATATATATATATATATATATATATATATATATATATATATATATATATATAGTTTTTCCTTTTGTGTAAATCTCAATTAAATATAGTTTTTCAATTAACTTTTTAATATACTCTAGTAAGTATTATAATGTTTGATTTGATAACCTGGTTTCTTTAATGCGTGAACAAAAATGTGTACACACAATTGGAAATATAAAATATATTTTAAATTTTTTTGTTTATTTTTTTAATAATGATAATTTTATTTTTCTTATTATGACCCTTTATTAATTATTACTCTTTAATATTTAAAATTTTAAAATATCTTTTTTACATTATTAATAAAGAGTAATCTTATAAAAGTAATTATATTCTTTAATTTATGTAGTATCCCAACTTGAAATGTATTTGGAAAGCCCGTGCATACGTTTGTAAAATGAGAGTTGAAGGCTTAAGGATAAAATAGTCATTTTACCATTTAAGAGCAATTAAGTAAATTGTCACTAGTCTTGCATGACATTTTAAGTCAAATGGATACTTAAAAATCATGTATTTTGCTATAACAATAAAGTTTGAGATGACAAAGCTTATAAAAGTAATTACATTTATAAATAGAGTCATTTGTTTTCTTCTTTGCATGACATATTTTTATAAATAATTAAGCACTATTATTTGGTTGATAACCTAAACGGACTTTGTTATATGAAGATTTTTGATATGATAAGATCATATTAAGATTCTCTTTGCCTTTAGTAAATTTATTCAAAATTTTCATGCAAATCTTCAATTTCATTTCTAAGTGAGCCGCATGTTTCACGACTGTTTTGCTTTAAAGCTTGTTTTTGAAATACATTCATTTTATCACTAATCTTATCATTTTATAAGATATTTCTCTCTAGCTCGTCATTTTTCTTACTAAGTTTAACACTTAAATCAAACATTTTTTTTGTAAGATATATTGAACAAGTGACTCTAAACATAAAAGGGGATGAATTGCGAAGTGCATAAATCATGATTAATTTAAAAAAATCTTTTACTTTGAAAAATAATTTGCCGAGATAAAGTAGTGAAAAATAGAAAGAAAGATTTAGGGAAGAAAGAAAATTAAACAACAATAGTTAAAACGATGGGTATAGAAATATTGCACCGGAATTTATAGAGGCTCAAGGTACCACTTTGCCTATTCCTCTTCCAATCATTTCTTCTTGAGTTTTCCACTAATAAAATGTCTTGAGCCTTCAAGGATATGCCTACAAACCTTATTACAACAGATGAGATATTCTATACCAGTCGATCCCAAACCAAATGGAGTTTTTGACTACAAAACTCACAAAACAAACAAAGATTTTGCCGACTAATATCAAGAACCAAACATAGATTTATCAAGACAATCTCAAGAACCAAATAAAGATTTTGTTAAGAAAATCTCAATAACCAAACAACTAAAACAATAAAATTGCACTCTTCATGAAGAAAACTTAAGCACAAACACCACTACAACAAAATGTTAGACGATGGACTTCGATCTAGAGAGAGGTGAATAGATCACAAATTAAAAATCTAATTTTTGACAAAAAATAGTTTTCAAAAGTTTTATGGCACAACGGAAACAACCTGAATCAAATCGTCTAACCGAACCTACTATCAAAAGGCTCGGATATGCGTAAAGTTACACAATTGAATGATAATGAACACAAATTGTTCAACAACACAATCAAATGTTAAGCAATATATAGAGCTTATTTCCAATGAACAAAAACACCAATGGGCAAATTATCAAACATGTTGTGTGCAATCAATATCGTTAGGGAATTTGATTTGTTTTGTTGATTCAAAAACCAATCACAATCAACCAAATTGTGGTTCTATCAACAAAACCTAAATAAAAAATATGTTCAAAAATAATTCCTAAACAAATTAATCAAACAAACAATGAATCCAATACTTTTTTAAGAACAAAATTAAAGAGAGAGAGAGAGAGAGAGAGAGAGAGAGAGAGAGAGAGAGAGAGAGAGAGAGAGAGAGAGAGAGAGAGAGAGAGAGAGAGAGAGAGAGAGAGAGAGAGAGAGAGAGAGAGAGAGATAAATAGAGAGATAGATAGATAAATATATATATATATATATATATATATATATATATATATATATATATATATATATATATATATATATATATATATATATATATATATATATATATATATATATATATATATATATATATATATATATATATATATATATATATATATATATATATATATATATATATATATATATATATATATATATATATATATATATATATATATATATATATATATATATATATATATATATATATATATATATATATATATATATATATATATATATATATATATATATATATATATATATATATATATATATATATATATATATATATATATATATATATATATATATATATATATATATATATATATATATATATATAGAGAGAGAGAGAGAGAGAGAGAGAGAGAGAGAGAGAGAGAGAGAAGGATTTGTTTAGGAAGTTCCCCAATCGGCCTCGCTATGGGTACGTCTACCGTCAATTCGAAATCGAATTGAGATACTTGCAATTAACCTTACTTTGCAAAAATTGTATATACAAGAGATGAAGAACTATAATCCTATAAACCCTATGGTTTGTTGTTGATTCTACCACCTTAAAAACCATTGATCAAAGATTGATCAAGTCCCCAACAATTTTGCTTCAATTCACCAATTTTTGCTACTTCCTTGCAAGGAACCACCTTGTCCCAAGGCTTTCACACGGTCAAATTAATTCCAAGCGCGCATTTGTTGAACCTAAGATTAACCAACACGATCTACCATTTCACGCTACTCCTTTGCAAGGAATTTCCTTGTCCCAAGGATTTCACTCGATCGGATTCGAATTGGGTAATCTTGTCCAAAACCTTCAAATCATCGATGATCTTGAAGAAAAACTCCAGCTCAATTTTCTTATTTGAAACCCTTAAAGAAATCCACCCAATAATCTCGGTACACCAACCAAATTGGACGTTATCAACCCTAATCTAGATGATCACCCAGTCAAAAAATGATTATATGTAGTTTGATTGTGTGTATGCATAGAAGAGAGGTTGAAGATGATGAGTATGCTTTGGAATTCTGGTTTCGTATAGGTTTTACACTAGAACCTTACTAGAAAAAGATGCATGTATCAGTATTTATTTGTAAGCAAGATGTGAAGCAAAGGGCATGCATAAGGAATAGTAAGGAAAATGAAATTTCAAAAATTTTAGTTTATAGGTCGACTTATGAAAGCAGGTGTGTTGACCTATAAAGGTCTTAGGTCGACCTATTTGAGGCGGCACATAGGCAGCGGCTACATGCTTTATTATTTAGGCATGGGTGTTTACCTAAGTGTGTTATATGTCGACCTATATTGAAACAAAATCTTCTATAGGTCGACCTAAACATATATATGTCAACTTATGAAGTGATTTTCACACTATAAACTCAATTTTGGATGCATGGACCTTGCCTTAGTCATTTCCAATCATTTCCAAACACGTTTATATGCACCCTAATGCTAAGATGAATAATGCACTTCTAGAATTTGGTTGACACCGTCCAATGTACAAAAATTCTAAAGTTGCTCCTAGTTTTGACATCATTTAAAACATAACTAGACGGAAAGATGCACTCACATACTCCCCCTTTTTATGATGGAAAAATTTGAGATTTGAGACGATGCATTTCTTGAAACATGAATAGCTCCCCTTGAATGTGTGCATTATATCCTTCATATTATTCTCCCCTTTTGACAATATCAAAAAGAGACAAGCAATTTATTAGTAGTATCACATAGATACACATTAGGCATATTCAATATACTACACGTAGGCAATTTGCAAAGATAAGAGGTGCACTCACATACATTCATATGTAACTACACAAGCTTAATAAACATGACAACATTCATAATAGTTATCTAAGTCAAACATCATAATTGGTCTTTCTCCCATGAATCAAGACCCAGTGACACACATCACAACACCATAATCC